CAAAGCTAAGATATCTATTCTTTCGAATCTCCAAGGAAGTATCCATTTGGCTATCAAGCCCTGGTTTGCTAGCGCAGGAGGCTGATTGAGATTAACACGGTATTGATATTTTGATGCAAATCCTGGCATTAGGATATACATCAATAGCAAAGGGAATGTATATGAATAAATCAATAGCTCTAATCAGGTACACACGAGAGAGAGTTGTAGTACTACAGCATTGTTGATCTATTTCAGCACATTTTTGGTGATGCAGTGCTAACCATAACCGTGACCGTTTGCACCCCTTATACTGTTCTATTCTTAAGCAATCAGTAACCATGGGCGATAATTTGAACTTAAGTCCTCTGGAGGTCCCGATTTATCATACCTTTATATTCAGTATTTTGAGGTCAAAATACTACACAAGTAGTGTATTCCGTAGTTTAAAGAACACAAGCTACTAAGAATCAATCAGGATGAACGACACATACAATCACCACATGAAAAACCTTACTTCAGTGTCGCCACCGTCCACAAGGTGGGAAACATGGACTCGCAAGCCCTTGAACATCTGCATCATCTGTCACTTGTAGATTACTTGTATACATTGCGCTTTCGTGTGCGAACAGCAGCTTTCAGTGGGAGTCTTATGGGATCAAGTAAGCGGAGGAAATGATTAGAAACATGATGTGGGCTTGTATCTCTAAGTAGCTGGTACCAATCGATCTGTTCATATCTATATGTACGCGCATATTTGGTCAACACGATATATATGTATATATACATATATATGTAATATACAGATTAACACATTTACGATACAAACCCTAAACCATATTATCCGATTGCTCCCTTTCATCACGAAAGTTCCTCTTGATCGAATTTTGCGCGGGCTATTCTCTCTGGGCTAAGGTTTTCGGGAAAACCCTGCAACTTTGTAATATTTCTGTTTGGGTATTGTACGTGAAACGATGCCTTAGGGCGGTGTGTAGTGAATTCGTTCGAACCGTCAGCATTTCACAGACGACACCATCTATGTATACGGGTAAGTCTCGGGCAAAGCAAAGTTAGTACGTGCTCAAGAGAGTTGAACCAAATGGTCGAGAGGAAGCATGCTATTTAGTTCAAGAGGAAACATGGTTTTTAGATTCAGATGGTTATTAAATATTTGTGAGCGCAAGGTTGTAAAGGTTAAAATTCTTCGGTAGGACTGTAAGCTATCCACAAAAGACACCTGACGAGTGAACGAGAAAATTTTGCAAGAAGAATCGAGGCTATTTTGTACTCACAGGATCCGTATGTATCATACTTTTCAGAAGTGGTGACCATGGACCATTGGGACAGATTGATCATTTCTGCTTTTATTTCGTCCACCTTGAACAATATTCGTCGCCCTTTATTACTTAGATAAAATTTTGATCGCAAGTAAGAGCAGCATTGAAGTCCGAAAAGAAATGTTGAGATTCCGATATAGATCCTTTAAGGAATGCACTGCTACTGAACGCAAGTGTGTAGCAACTTTGTACGTAAGTTCGCCGATTAAAATTATGAAACGAGGACAAACCTTGCTCAACGGTGGCTAAGAAGTGGACTCGAGGGCAACCTCTCGATTCACTGAAGCATTTAAACTCTTATTTACATCGGAAATACCTTCAAATACGAGCATTTGCTCGAATAATTGACAGAATTTCACCGTCTGTTCACCGATGTAGTCTATGCCTAGTTTTATTTATACTACAGGGCAAATGATGATACAAATTACTGGTAGTTTGTAGAAGTTATCGCTGCCCAGTCTTATTTACCATACTCATACGGGCCGTGTCTTATCGCTGAAATCGATCAATATCGCCAATTGGACGCCGCCAATGCTGCTGCCCTAGTCATAGGTACGCAATACTGAACGTACAGTCGAACGTCGGTAAGAGTGACATAGCATCGGTGCTAAAAGAAATGAACACGGCAAAAAATGGGAATCACAATCGTTCCGAAAATAGGTCTACGTGTTTATTCATAAAAGTCCGGTCCCCTTTTAACATGGATGAGTTGTCAATAAAGGCCACTACATCAGTATAGATATTCAATGAGATACGCGTGGACGCGCATGTTATAGTAATGTATTGGACACTAGCCATGGAGATATTTCTGTCCAGATTAGAAGTAAAAAATAAATTAAAAAAATTTGGCTGTAAAAGCTGAAGTAGGTACATATGGAGAAATATACAGGTATGTATGCATGCGTGCATAATATACATACACGCACACAACTTTTTCACTAGTTTCTTCCGTAGGATAACGGAGCTTGACAGTAAAATCGGTTCTGTATATATACCGAAAAATGCTAGAGTGCGCTCATTGGAGACTTAATCAATAAAATCGTTTCTCAGCTGGTCAACGACGGAGGCCTTCTGATTCGACAAGCGATTTCAAACAGTTATTTCTATTCATACTAAGATCACAATACACCTCTTCAGCACGATTAACAGCTAACTATCATCGATTATTAGTTTCGCATGTCCACAAAAGGCTAATGAATGCTAGTTGAATGTATCCCAAAGTTATTGTTCTGCTTTATTGCTTGCAAGTACTGCTTCAAAACAGACTCGCCAAAATCGAAACATACTCCTATCTTGCAAAAAGCTAAGCAACGATTGACAATTCGCGTACAATCACGCACACTTGACTTTCACTTTATATGCTCCAGACTTTGGAAAGCACACACACGAGTTTGAGAACACAAAAGCACACATACGAAATGAATCATTAATGGAACGATGAGATGCTTAAGAGCCTAATAATTTTTATACAAGTTGGCACAGTTTCATATTTCCTGACATCTATGAATTATATATCCTATCTTCACATTCGAATCACGCTACGTTGGGAACCTCCAGAGCACCAACCTCTGCAAAAATTGAGATAAATTGAAATGTGAGACATACGCATATAGATATGTTTACAATCAAGTATGAAACATCCGCATGTAGATATGCTCGATATTTTCATTCAAACGCATTCGTGCTACACTCGATAATTTAAAACACAAGTTTACACAAACCGATGTAAGCGAACAACAAAATGCAGTGTTTAGTAACCAAACAAATTAAAATAACACATAAAGAACATCACAGGTCTATTTTACCAGAAGAGCACACTCACCTGTATTCAATTTGTTGTATGCGCTCTCATAATCAGCATGTGTCTTGACCAGCACACAGCTCGTGGGCCTCTTAGTATTGCCAGCCGCTCCTAATTGTTCTTTTGACGGTACGTAGCAGTACGGGATGTTCTTCTCCTCGCACATAATGGGCACATGGCATATGACATCCAACGGAGAGATATCTCCGGCGATAATAACTATACCAGACTCATTCTTGCGAAGAGCCTTGGCGACCTCCTTTACACCTCTGCGCACTTGCTTGCTCTTGGCGGCTGATGAGGTACATGGCACAAAACGAATACGACATGCGTATATGCAATGAGTTATTGTAACTGCACAAGACGAGCCCACTTGATAGCTGATTTGATGATACGATGTGGCGTGATGTGAGGCGACGGAACGGGATGTTATGTTTGTGATGTGACGCATTGCATAACCGATTGCAGAATATGTATACATACCGAGATATTTAAATTGTATAGAAGACACATATACTATCAGATACGAAGCCCGTTAATAGCGTATATACATCAGACTGCAAATATATCAGTACATATGCACTGCACACCATGTACCGCGTTGTTTGGTATCTATCAGTAGGGAAAAAAGCTTAAATAATCGACTATACTAACTCTATCTAGTAGGCTAGAAACAAGCCCTTCCTCCACGCACCCAACCACATTATCAAAGCTACATACCTTTCTTTGTGATCTTCAGTACTTTCTTTGTGAGATCTTTGCTGGCCATAGGAAACGCAATCTCGTTCGCTCGGCACAGCAGGCTATCGTAATCAAATTCAGCATCGTCTTTATCTTCAGTTTTCTCAACCTTTACAACCTTCTCAGTCTTAGAAGACTTGACTTTCTTCTCCTTCTTGGAATCTTTAGGCTTTCCCATTGTGTTTATATGTATGTATTGAACTACTCACTCTGTATGACGACGGTAGCGTGCGAATGTGCTTTATTTTGTATGTGTTCACCTATAACCTGATATTTCCTCTGTTTCATTCATCGAGAGTTTATATTTACACATGTGCATTGTGCGGGCTCCGCCAGTGACAAAATGAGTTTATCGACTGTAATAAACCATTCAAATAAATAAACAGGGATATAGCAGTAGAACCACTGTCCACAGGATATATACAAAAGAGGAATGTGGTTTATGTTTATAGTAACCTTTAAATTTCGTGTGATGCTGATAAAAAACTTTAAATCTAGTAAATTATTGGTTAATGATGTCTACATTTTATTTTTGTTGTTCTTGATAGGGCAGCCCGGTAACTTGTTCTCATCTCTGCCATAAATTACCTTTCTCCCTTTTTTGATGAGGCAGTTTCCGTTCGTTCTCAATTTGGTGTTGTAAAAAACACCCCCCTCCCGAACTGGGTTCAGATCGTTCAAGGATTCTTATTGGGGCCCAGGCATGAAATATTCTTGCACACAAATCAGTGAAATCACATATTTTAAAAGTAAAATCTATATCTTCCTACAGACGAAAGGCGACTAGCGAGTCTTCAAGAAGTCTCAAGTTGTTAAATTGTCAATTCAGACAATCCCAACCATGTGAATGTATCTATCATTCACATCAATATCTGATATAAAATATCTGCGATCTAGACATGATGGTAAAGTGCGGACCCCGCCTAGTATTCAGGATTGGCTTAATTCGTAATAGCACTTTCAGTCTAAATACCAGCTGTTGGCGTCCAATTACGGAATGAACGTATTGTCCAGCTCTTCTTTAAAAGTAAATTGTGTAGTTGTCAATTTCGACTGCTTGCAACATATATATTGTGACTTGCTAAAATACTGTTTGTGTCAATTAAACCAAGTAAGTTACGAGCGTAATATGTCCTGTATGTCATAGTGTGAATCCATGCGCGTCGAACCGTACAATTTATGTAGATACTTGCACAGCGCTGAGCTCTTCTTGACCAATTTTATTAAGTCGAATGTGAGGGCGACATTTATCGTGTCTAGCTATCCCAGACATGTCGAAAGCGAGGAAAGCTATTCATAGCACTCTCATTGAAGTGTATAAATCCATATCCCGGATACATCACTATAAAAGTGGGGCTTCATTTGTGTGTCCGTGTATCTATGAGTACGTGAAAATCTTCGTATAACACCTGAAACGCGACCATTGGCGGTGACTTTTGAATAGTGTACTACTATTCCATACCTACAAAAGATGCTCAAGCGAAAGCGTGCGCCCGTTTATAAATCTACGGTGACTATATCATATTAGATCTCATCGCTGTCAGGTGTGATGTCAGCAAACAAGGGAGTAGATAAGTATCGCTCTCCGGTATCGGGCAGCATGGCCAGAATAACGGAGCCTTTAGGTGCAGTTTCGGCCACTTTCAGAGCTGCTGCAAATGTACCACCAGCGGAGATACCTACAAAGAGGCCTTCTTTCTTGGCTAGATCTTTGGCGCATTGAATGGCTTCTTCATCGGTGACAGGTACATTCATATCATATACATTGCGGTCCATGTTGTCGGGAATGAAATCGGGTGTCCATCCCTATAATTAATAAAGTTGGAAAATAACATAATAGCTGTTATTAGTGAATTGTTGGATCCATTTACACATACAAATACACACTCCTGCTAGAAGCTCCGTCACTCGAGTACGACTGAACATTCTTTAAGCAATATTCTCTAGCTTTGGAGAACCTTCCAGATAATTAGTCCAGCAAAAGACTATACAATAGTATCTTAATCTCTCTATTTGCATACAGAATCACACAGATAAGCGCAAGGAAAAATAAATTTACACGTCCAAGTATATTTAATGCATACCTGAATTTTGTGAGGCTTCCAATCAGCACCCTCTAGCAAAGAGGCACCTGCAGGCTCAGTCACGACCACTTTGGTATCCGGGCGAGCCAGCTTGATCATCTTACCAGCACCACTCATAGTACCAGCTGTTCCATACCCAGTTACCCAGTAATCCAAGCGTGAATCTGCGAAATCAGACAGAATCTCAGGTCCAGTGGTATTAGCGTGGAATGCAGGGTTAGCAGGATTGCTAAACTGCTTTGTTTCAAACCAGCCGTGTTCTTTAGCAAGCTCAGCAGCCTTATTGACCATGCCTGTACCCTTTTCGGCGGCAGGTGTTAGTACCACCTTGGCACCCAGTGCCTTCATCACTTTACGACGCTCAACGGAGAAGGTCTCGGTCATTGTAGCTACAAAGGGATAACCTTTAGCTGCACAAACCATAGCCAAAGCAATGCCTGTGTTGCCAGAGGTTGCCTCTACGACAGTCTGTCCGGGCTTTAACTTGCCAGATCGCTCTGCATCCTCAATTACGGCCAGGGCTAGACGATCTTTCACTGATCCAAGTGGGTTGAAGAACTCGCACTTAACGTACATGTCGACGCCAGCGGGAGCGAGGCGGTTGATCTTAACCACCGGTGTGCGACCGATGGTCTTTAGAATGCTGGAGTAGATGGGCATGATTAATGAGGCTTACCGTATTGGGAGATATGAACTGACCGAGGTTTGATACGGGCGTGGAACTGATATGGTATTTGCAAGAGAACAGAGATTTTGCATTTATTTATGTCAATATGCAATCTTGCACAGCTCGAGTCGGAGAGTGCGGTAGTGAGAGTAAATATATGTAAATATAAATAAAATACATAAACGCCACAAAAATTTTAAAAGCCTCTTTTTACATATCGAACTAAATAACCACTGGCGGCCCGGCGGGCCACAGCCAACAGGCCCACAGGCCACAGGCCACAGCGAACAGGCCCACAGGCCACAGGCCACAGCGGCACTGCCCCAGACCCCCCAGACCACAGCTTGATATTTATTTATGTTGTTGGGAGAAAGAAATCCACACTTAAAATAAGGGTTGCCCCATGTCAAGTGTCAAATGTTAAATGTCAAATATCAATTGTCAAATGTCAAGTGTCTTACACGCAGCACAAGGCGAGTTGAGAACTTGAGGAGGTTGAGCCGTTGCAGTTGAGACGTGCAACACCAACTTTACAACTAAATATGAAATTATTTTAATTACACAACAAGAGTCTGCAAAAGTTGCACATATCGTTTTCTACACATTTTAGGTATTTTGTTTATTTTTCACATTATATTATTATTTACCCCTTTTTAGTTGTAATAATATTAAATTTTGATTGGATTATAATGTACCCAGGCATTTATTCATAAATTTAGTGCTTCTTTTACCTTTTTGTTGTTTTTTTAAAAACAAACAAAAAATAAAATATACAAAAAAAAGGAAATCGAAAAAATACGATCTATAAATAGAACACTAGTTTGCGAACTTTTTTGCGGGGGGGGTGGCGGGGTTTCAAATTTTTCACCTACAGCCTACAGGTTACCGCCACGCACCTCACTCACACCCTGACATTCGAAGACAAACTGGCGTAGCGAGTAAAAAAGAATCCAACAACATACTCTCACATAACCTTGTTCCATAGAGACATAGAGGGAAAGCAACACGAACGCTGCATCCACAGTACTCGTACGCAACCGAAACAAAGATGTCGAAGGATTTTTATCTGAGATACTATGTAGGACACAAGGGAAAATTCGGACACGAGTTCTTAGAGTTCGAGCTAGACCACGGCAAGTTGCGATATGCCAACAATTCACAGTATAAACAACGGAATGACTCGAACGATATGATCCGAAAGGAGGTTCATGTCTCCGAGACGATTGTGGCGGAACTGAAGCGAATTGTTGAAGACTCCGATATAATACACGAAGATGATCACCTATGGCCATTGGCTGATCGAGTGGGTACACAAGAATTAGAAGTTATGATGGGTGACGAGCACATCTCGTTCAAAACATCGAAGATTGGTTCATTGACGAATGTCAACGAGAGCAAAGGTAAGACCTTCTCAGATGTGCTTCAAGTTGTATTGTATAAATCTATTTGTAGAAGTTAGTATATCAGCATGTATGTATCTCCACATACTCACACACAAGCATATATTTATATATATATATATA